CCTCTCTATCATAATGGAATATATCAGAGTCGCGTCGGTGCGTCTCGGCGCTGCCTGGACGCATCTGGGAACATCATGCGGGGGCGGATAGGAATCATCAGCGCCTATTGAGACGTTGGCGTTATCGAAGACGCCTACGGCGAATCACCGCCGCCCCCTGCCTTTTTTGGAAGCGCCTGCGAGGCCGAAAGTTGGGTTTGAGCTTGTCCAAGCTATCGGGCCACGCGTTCCTCGACCGCAAATGTGGGTGCCGGGGTCCGGGCCCGCCTCTGGGAGGCGCCTAGGATCGCCCCGGGGAGCCCTCAGACAGCAATCCCGGCGGCCCCAGACGGTCTCGAGACACCCCCAAGACGCCGTCCAGGGGTCTGGCGACGCACGATGCATATTAAACTGCCCCAGAGGCCCCCCAAGATGCCCCAAGAGGCCTTTAAGATGCCGCCCAAGAGCGCCCCGAGAGGGTAACATCGTTGATTATCATTGGTTTTTCATTTTTTTTTGCATTCTCGCTGTTTCGTGTTTGCGACGCTAAAGCACAGCCCAAGAGGCTCCCAAAACCGCTCCAAGACGGCTCAAGAGGCCCCCAAGAGGGCCCCAAGACGGCCCAAGAGAGCCCCGAGACGGCCCCAGAGCCGCCCAAGACGGCGCAAGAGGGTCCCAAGAAGGCCCCAAGAGGGGGCCCGTAGCCATTTTGGCTCAAGCCGTTTGGGCATATAGCCATTTTGACTCGAAGCATCTCGACCCTGGCCGCGGCGTCACAGACGCTACTTCTGCTCACCAGCATTCGTTCATCTAGCCCGCGCGCGTGCTCGATATGACCCCCCTTCACGCAGCTGTTGTTCTCGCGCTCCCCTTCGGCATCGTACAGGGTGCCTGTGTGGACACCGACGGTTGGTCGTCAACCTCAGAGGGTTGGGATTGTAATACATACAGTGTTCAACCGTCTATGTGCTCGTGGGGTCACTACTATGAAGACCTTGGCTTTGATTCCAGTGAAATGTGCTGTGTATGCGGCGGCGGGGCGCCTGTACCTACGCCGCGTCCGCCACCGCCGCCATCGCCACCGACGCCAGCACCAACGACGCCACCGCCGCCGACGCCGCCACCGACCCCAGCACCGAGTGCCGGTGTGGACACCGACGGTTGGTCGTCAACCTCACAGGGTTGGGATTGTAATACATACAGTGTTCAACCGTCTATGTGCTCGTGGGGTCACTACTATGAAGACCTTGGCTTTGATTCCAGTGAAATGTGCTGTGTATGCGGCGGCGGGGCGCCTGTACCTACGCCGCGTCCGCCACCGCCGCCATCGCCACCGACGCCAGCACCAACGACGCCACCGCCGCCGACGCCGCCACCGACCCCAGCACCGAGTTCCGCCTCGCCCAGCAGCAACACCACCAAGACGACCACCACGACGATCACCGAGACGGGCACGAGTTCCGCATCGCCCAGCAGCACCACCACCAGGACGACCACCACGACGATCACCGAGACGGGCACGGGTTCCGCATCGCCCAGCAGCACCACCACCAGGACGACCACCACGACGATCACCAAGACGGGCACGAGTTCCGCATCGCCAAGCAGCAGCACCACCAAGACGACCGGCACGACGATCACACGGGCCACCGGTATGGTGCTAACCGCAACGACTGCATTGGTGAGTCCAGTACTGGCAGGATCACAGGAGTTGGTGGTGGAGTCCGAGGAGGGCTTTTCTGTAGGGGACACCATCGTGATCACTGGTGGCGGAAATTCGGAGACTCGTGACATCGCGAGCTTTGGATCCATTGTGCTCGACGCACCGTTGGACTACGGATACCCAGCGGGCTCCAGCATCACCAAATTAGGTGGTAGCTATTCGAGCACTGCACCATGGGCGGAGGAGCAGCAAGACTCCGAGAGATTGCTTACAGTCTTCGTTGGTGTCGTGATCGTCCTCCTGGCCTGCACCGCGCTGGGCTTGGGCTGTCTTATGAGGCGCGGATGTCCTGGCCGTGGCAGGGGCCCAGCGCACGACCGCGGCATGCGCGACGCGCAGATTGAGATCAGCGTGTCGGAGTTGGACGCGGAGATTGATGAGCACCAGCCTGACCAGAAGGACGAGTTGCCGGAGACCATGTAGGCTCCGATTGAAAGTCCATGGCATCGAGTCAGCAAAGGAACTGAATTGCATCGTATTAGTACTCGACAGCTGGCACCATGCTGATGCGCAGAAGGCTATCCACATCCTGTCTCAAAAGGACATCTTGGTCACAAACGCCAAGGACAAGGAGATCAACTTGAGGGTAGTCGGCTCTCTGGACCGCCTGATCCGCAGCCGCGACAGTCTGTCCATCTAAGTAGTTGGTATCTTCCGCGCATGTGCGATAGGTATCCTCGTTCTAATTCCTTCGCACCTCCTGAATCACCGTTGCGTGTCTTGTTCCCCTCCTGCTCCGCATATTTCGTGTTGTACAAACGGCGATTGAGCCTGCTGATCAGGTAAGAAGGCAGGACGAGGAATGGCAGGGGGAGGAGGAGCAGATAGCGACATGGGGGAAAGAAACAACGACATATCTGGCGGGCTGCCAGACCGCATCCGTAGACGGCTGAGTTGTAGCCTCGCTGTCCGGAGATGTTTCAATCGTGTGCTTGACGTCTACAAACGTTGTGCATCAACGTTGCCGCCCCTGCAGCGCTCCGCGACAGTCTTCGATCGGACGAATGACGCCAGAGGGATGATCATGATGAAGAGGAGGAGGAAGACGAGGAGGAACGGGGCGGGGGGGCGTCCCCCGGTACACATCACTAAACCAGGTCCCACTAAACCCAGTTTTGCCAACGCCCGATCTGCTCTCCCTCAGCCTCTACATAGCGGGCATGTTTCCTATCGCTCTCCTTTCCATATCCGTTCATTTTGAGTTCCTACAGTGTACTACAGCGTCGTCTTGGTGAGATGACCGTGCCGCCTAATGCGCCTTCTCATGGCCTGCAGCGGGTAGCGCGCGACGATCGCTGTGCAAGACTCGGAATTGCCAGTTGCACAGCAGTCGACTTCTCATCATGCTCGGCGTCTCGATGTGTGCACGCTTGGATATGTCCCAATCGGAGATTCAGCAGCAATTCGACACACTTCAATTGCCTTGGTTGGGCGGGATGGTTATCGAAATGTTCTGCCAGTTAAGGAGTGGGCAGGGGATAGGTTCTGAGGGGTGAGTTAGCTATTTGCGTAGAGCCAATGACTCGCGATACTTTCTGCCTACCGCGTGCTTGCCGGTAGGGCCGTCACAGGCCATGAGCATGGATGTGCTTGTTTTTTGAGGCCTGGCTGTTCTGGGAGTACCCTCGGCCGCACAGGCCGCGGGGTCGGACCCCATCTGGGAGGTCTCTATCCAATTTCCCGATCCTGTGTTGGCCCGAGAGGTCCGCGCCGATCCGGGAAATCCGTGCAGAGATCCGAACACGTCTGCGTATGCCGTCAGTTTTCCTTCTACTTCTTTGCCCGAGAGGTCCGCGCCGATCCGAGAAATCCGCGCGGAAAGCCGAGCATTTATGCTTGTACCGTTTGTTATTCCTCAGGGCTTGCCGCCGCCGTTCCATCCCTCGCTATCGGGTTTCAAGAGACGGGGATCGATTCAAACGGGGGTCAGTCTGAGCGCCCGATCTTGCAGGATCCTGCAGAGCCAGGGTTGCATTGACCTGGATTTGGGTGCAGGATCCTGCAGGATCCTGCAGGAACTTGCAGGATCCTGAAAGGACTTCCTGACGCGGGTTTGCGCTGGCCTGGGGCAGTAGACCTGCTTGGCACTACGATGGAAAGCGCGTGAATTTTGTGAGGGCGCGAGTACGCTGGCTGAGAGTCTTGGAGCCCTGCTGATGTTAAGGCATTGGTACGACCTGCAAACGTCTGGCAAAAAGCTTTGCGAAAATCAATGAACATGGCATTTCCTGGCCTTCCTGGGGGTCCTTTGGGGGCTCTTTTGGGCCGTCTTGGTGCCCTCTTTGGCCGTCCTGGGGCTCTCTTGGGCCGTCTTGGGGGGCTAGGGCCGTCTTGGGGCCCTCTCGGGGCCCTCTGGGACCCTCTTGGGGACCTCCTGTGGCTCTCTTAGGGCTCTCTTGGGAACCTGGGGCTCTCTTGGGCCGTGTCGGAGCCCACTTGGGCGGTCTTGGGGCCGCCTTGGGGGCGTCTTGGGCCGTCTTGGGGCGGTCTTCGGGGCTCCTTGGGCCGTCTTGGACGCTGCGAACACGGAAGAAGCGAATTTGCTAAACATATACGTTTTCCGCATGCTTTTGGACCTCTGGAGGGCCTCTTGGAGCGTCTTGAGGACATCTTTGGCCGTTCTGAGGACGGCCAAAGAGGGTCCAAGATGGTCCAAGAGGGTCAAGATGGTCGCAGTGAGACCATCTTGGACCCTCTTGGAGCGGCCTTGGGCCGTCTTCGATCTCTCGTGGGACTCCCAGAGGCCGTCGTGGAGGTATGTGAGGGCGTCTAGGGAGCGTCTTGGGCCGTCTTGGATGTCTTTGGGCGTTCCTGGGGCTGACTTGGGCCGTCTTGGGCCGAAATTTGAGCTAGTAGATCTGGGGCTCGTCCTGCCTATCGAACCACACACACGCACGCGCGCGCACGCACACGCACACGCACACGCACACCCACACGCACACGCACACGCACACGCGCACGCACATGCACATGCACATGCACACACACACACGCGCACACACACACGCACACGCACACACACACACACACACACACCACGCACACACACACGCACACGCACACGCACACGCACACGCACACGCACACGCGCACGCGCACACGCACACGCACACGCACACGCACACACGCACACACGCACACACGCACACACGCACACACGCACACACGCACACACGCACACACGCACACACGCACACACGCACACACGCACACACGCACACACGCACACACGCACACACGCACACACCCACACACCCACACACCCACACACCCACACACCCACACACCCACACACACACACTTACACACTTACACACTTACACACTTACACACACACACACACACACTTATTGTGAAGGCCTTACGGCCGGTGCCGCCGACCCTGAAGGTTTTGGCCGTCGATGGCGACGGGATGTGTGATCACAGGAAGGAGCTAAAGGACAACGTGACAGGGTAGGCGGAGGAAGTGTGTGAGGAGGAGGAGGAGGAGGAGGAGGAGGAGGAGGAGGAGGAGGAGGAGGAGGAGGAGGAGGAGGAGGAGAGGAGGGGGAGACAAACGAAAAGGAGATGGAGAAGGGCAAAAGACGCTCAGGAGGAGGAGGAGGAGGGAGGAGAAGGAGGAGAGGAGGAGGAGAGGAGGAGGTGGTATTCTGACCGTGGACCCCCCCCAGGATCCCCCCCAGGACCCCCCCGGGACCCCCCCTGGGCTTCCCCCGGGACCCCCCCCCCCTTGGCCGGGGAAGGGAACAAAGGGAAGGGGAAACCCTTCGAGTCAATTTACTTTACGCAGGAGGAAGAGATGAAGGAGGAGGAGGAGGAAGAGGAGGAGGAGGAGAAGGAGGAGGAGGAGGAGAAGGGGGAGACGAACGAGAAGGAGACGGAGAAGGTGGGAGAGGGAAGAATGCACGGACGAGAAGAACAACCCATTCCACACGCCGACAGGGTCGGCGGACACACACACACACACACACACACACACATTCACACACGCACGCGCACACACGCACACACGCACACACGCACACACGCACACACACACACACTAATTCACACACACATGCCCACACACACACACGCACACATACACACACGCACGCACCCGCACCCGCACCCGCACCCGCACCCGCACCCGAACCCACACACACACACACACATACACACAAACACACACACACACACTTGACAACGATGGAACGGGATGTCGTCGAACTGCCAGCTCCCTTATATCCCCCGTCGACGTACGTTTTCACGTCAACATATGGGGGCCTTCGTTGGCCAGTGCCCCAAATGTTGACCACTGGCCCCCTCCAACGTACACTCGGCACCCTACCCATCCTGACTATCGGATCGGCCGCCCCTTGGACACAGGGGTTCCACGACACACGAGTTTGGTCTTGATGGTGGTCGCCCCAGGGCTACATGCCACAAGGTCGTCGAATGCGATCTTGCTGCCTGGTGGAACGGGATGTCGTCGAACTTACGGCTCGCTTCCTCCCTCCCCCCGCCGTCCCGGCCCCCTCAAGTTCCCACCCCAAGGTTCGCGAATGCTTCCCCGGCGCGCCAACAACGGGTCAAAGCCGACGGGCTGGCATTGCCCAAGCGGCCATCCTTTCAGACGAGCGCCCGCCCAGGGCACCCAGACCGTTGCGGGGCACTCGGATCTCACGAGCGTTTCCCTTCGCGAGGCCTGCCCCCCCCCCAAACCTCCGCAAAGGCAACGCCTCACGGCGCGCCAACAACGGGTCAAAACCGACGGGATGGCATTGCCCAAGCGGCCATGCACTCAGACGAGCGCCTGCCCTGGGCGTCCAGACCGTTACGGGGCCCCCGGATCTGACGAACGTTTCCCTTCGCGAGGCCTGCCCCCCCCCCAAACCTCCGCAAAGGCCTTGGCAGCCAAGCCGAAAAACAAGAGGGGAGGGGGAGGAGCAGGAGAGAGAGGGGGGGGGGGAAGGAAGAAGGCGAAAGCGCGAAGGGAATCGACGTCTGGAGCACCTCACCCTCCGCGGCTGGGCCCCAACTGGCCGGGCGAAGGGAAGGAGGGCGTCTGCCCCGGATTCGGAACTCCCGACCGGCGCGGGCCGACCCCCACCCGCGCCCGCCACCTCGCGTCCACACCCCAGCCCTGTACCCCCTTGAATTCCCGACGAAACAGTGCATCCGCTCCCCCCCTCTCCCCCCTAACACTGCCAGCCGCTCATCCCAACCCTTTCCTCTGCCAGTTTCCGGGTTCCTCGGCGCTTTTTCCCCCGCGCCGGCTGCGCGAAGTCGATCTGCAATAGGCTCGACAAGCAAATCCCGATTGAACGCTTTTCTACGCCGTCGCGAAGAACAAGTGGACCTGGCCAGGTAAAGGGTAGAGGGTAAAGGGTAGAGGATACAGGATAGAGGCAGGTAAAGTTATGGTAAAATTGTTTTTCTCCGCGTTGCCGTCGTAGTGTCAAAGGCAAGGGAAAGTTATGGTAAAGTCTTCTGGTGGCTATATACATGCCAACGCGGCGGCAACTCAATGGCGGACAACTCCGGCCACCCAGCTGCGGCTCCGTCGCTCCGACACCCGCCCAGCCACAGGTGGAGGAGGAGGGCGAGAGGGGAAGAGAGAGGAGAGGAGTGGAGGAGAGAAGAGATGCAAAACAGATGCGGCAATCTAAACGGTTGCCGCTCAATCCAAAATTTCTGCGGCGCGGGCGGGTAGTAAGCACATGCAAATGCGGAAATGCCTCCGCAATGCTCGCACGGAGTTGGCGGACAGACGCGCGGCGGACAACTCCGGCCGTCTAGCTGCGGCCCAGGGGCGT